TATATATAGTCGTGTTTTTTATTGTAGGTTATAGCTGATGATGATTACAGAATGCGTAATACAGATCATAATTATTTGAAATAAAAAGACAATGACTGTTGTGTGCATACGATTGTTATTATCTTTATTGAATCATATTACAACAAACGATATTGGTATTTGACGAAAGTTCGACAAGAACCGAATATCTATTACGAGAATGCCATGAACATGTTCATTGTTTGACAGCTCTAGCTGACTCTAGTCGTGTTTTTGTTAGTCGCAATAGGAGATTTATGGTTACCAGACAAATATGCTTTTCTAAAATCGCTATTTCAGATGACAATCATCATTTCAGATAGAGGAGGGTGGGCAGTGGAAGAAAGCCGTTGTGACTATCTGTAATCGAATAATAGAATACTACCGTGTCAGAAAAAAACTTTTGAATATTTCAGTCGACATCTGTTTCTGAGAAATGTACTCAAAAACATTTTGACGAATGTTCTCAAATATTCGTTTGAATGAGCTCGTGTACTTTCTTAATAGAGAAATGGCATGTCAAACGAAAGTTTTAATGTATTTTAAAATACAATAGTTTCTATACAATCAAAATAAAATAATTGCAAATAAAATCATCTCTGTGCTCCTTTGTCATTAAAAGGCTCAGTATCATTGGAACATCGTTTAAAAACACGTTTGATCGTCTCATCTATTTCATTTTTCGCTACAGTACGCTTGTTTGTACAAATTTCCAACGACTGTTGTGCTTTACGTTTCACACAGTATTCATGTTTTCCGCTTAGAAACGGTGAAAATGTCATAGAAAAATAATCAGATAATGTACACTCCGTTAGTGATGCAGCACGAATTTCTGTACAAGCTAAATGTTCAATATTATTAAAATTAATTTGCACCCGACAATAATCGTAAGCATGGATCAGTTCATGTTTGAGAATAGTACAAAATTCATTTTTTGTTTTAATATTATCTGGAAATAGAACTAGTTGTTTAGTCGACGCATCAAATCCACCACGAAATGAAGAAAAGTCATTTGCTTCTTCACAAACTATATGTCGTTTAAAATTAATCGGACAACCAGCTGATTCCAGAGCGACAAGTAAGTGACGAAGTTGTGAATCTTTCTCTAAACAGTACTGAAGATGTTCAAAACATTTTCTTATCATTATCTACGATCTAGAAAGGTGAAATTTATTGAGTGAACATTCAATATTAATTTGAAGCAGAATTAACTTAGTTAAAATAAACGATTTTCTTTATATAAATAAATGTCACTCTAATACAAACAAGTATATGAAAGAGAATCAAGTTTTTTATAATCATCTAAATGCTTCATACTCGAGTGAATGTACTGGATGCTCTGTACAAACAACGTACACATAAAATAGATCAAACAGATCTTCAATCTGACTGGCGTTATATTCCCATGGATGAATGGAATTTTTGTGATTTTGTACGGATAGATGCAGAAGAATCAATTGCATAAAATAACATAATTTGATCTTTGCTGACTTTAGATTAAAATCTCGAATTACTTTTCCGCCTTTTGCCTCGTACCCATCTGAAAAATAAGTCTTTGCAGCGATAAGCAGAAGCATAACGTCCGTAAAGACATGGAGATCGTAAAATCTTCGTGCGTGCGATTAAACTCTTCTATCCATAGAATACTTGAGTTTAATCAAGAGAGAACTTCTATTCACCAGATTAGACGGTCTTTGACAAGACTATTGAAACAAGAGTTTTACTTACACTAATATGCTATATGCTTAAAGGACAATGAAAATATACAATTAAATAGGAAAAAATGTTAGTTAGAACAAAGTTACAATCAAAAATATCTATTTCTTTTCTTCCGGTTTCTTTTGATCTTGTGAGGATGAAGGTAGTTTCTGCTGCTGATCTTGTTGCTTCGTATCATGTGGAGTTGAACGAAATTTTGGGAATGCTTCCCAAGGACTTGACAAATCAAATTTACGATAATCTTGAGTGAGTTCGAGGGGTTCAATAACAACACGTTTTACCTCTTCATCATATCGAACCTAAAAGTCGAAAGGATTAAAAATTGAGTCATGAAACAAAACTAACTAACATACTTCGGTATAGCCCGATAATGGAAAATCTTTTCTCATTGGATGCCCTTCAAAACCATAATCTGTCAGAATACGACGTAAGTCTGGATGATTAACAAAATAGATACCATACATATCCCAAATCTAAAAATATATTATCGCATTGTCAGAAACATTTTCAGATTTTCAAGATAAATTCTCACCTCTCTTTCGTACCAATTGGCACATTCAAATATCTCACAAATAGATGGTACAGGCATTAATTCGTCAGTATAAGTTTTAACGCGTATACGTGAATTGTATCGTAATGATAACAAATTATAAATAAGCTATGAAACGAAAGGAATATAAGCATTATCTGATAGTAACTTTTGCCAAGAAATCATACTTCAAATCGATAAACACGCGTTGGAACGTCAATCGCTGTTATATCAGCTAGTGAAACAAACTGTCCATTTGTATGATCCTTGAGAAATGTGATAACTGGAGTAATACCATCTGGATGAATAAGTATTTCGAGCTCATTTGTTGATGTCATTTGCGCATGTTGAACAAATTTTGGTAAACATTCGGCAACATATTGGCCAAAATCTGTTAATTGTTGACGTTGTCCAACATTGATTTTCATTACATTTGCTAAAGTAGATAAATTACAATTACACGATTTTCACTAGCGAAAGATACTTTTGAAACTTACGTGCAGGAAGATTTGTATTTGTCGACGATGCTGCTGTTGTTGATTGCGCACGACGAATGATTGAAGTAATAGGTTTAGTTCGAGCTACTGCTAATAGACCTCAAAAAGAATACGCGAGATTGATTCGTGGAAAGAGAGAGCATAAAGGCTTGATGTTACATCTTATCACATCAGTTTTTAAACAATAGGAAACCGTAGATGAACGATTTTTTTATTTACTTAATTTATTGCTTAGACGAAAACGCTATTCATGAGTTATACATATCTGATCTGCATATTTCAACAGACACAGAACTTACGTATGTTTGATACCAGAGCAGGTCGAACACATAAACGACTAAAAAAGCTTGCCATCTAAAAATTATGGCCTAAGTTGAATATATATATGTTAAGAACGAGATATACTAGAGAAATAGTTTGGATTAAGACTGATACAACGACACAACGCAGTTTTGACGTGACAAAAAGAAACCATAGGAGACTTTTTATTATTTTTATCATTGTTGATGGAAGCTCGAACTGAAAAATATCTAGTATAGGTTGCAATATATATTTCATTGTAATTCTCACATAAAAAAATATTTCAAAAAAACCGTTTAACACAATATCACTAGAAAAAAAAAGAAATAACATCTGACAAAAATCTGACATAAATTGAGTTTATTTGAGTTCATAACAAACAAAAAAAGAAAAAACCATTATTGATCTCTATGAACTCATTATATAATCTTCTTTAAAATGATTGAATAGCATTACAGCCTGATTATAAATATTCATATCTAGAAGATGGAAAGTAACAGCATATTAGTTGCAGTTGTCAAGTTGCATCGAAAACATACCAAAATTTTGACATTGTTCATCTGTAAACGTTATACACGTATCACAGACGAGTTGATTACGACCATCGACCATACCAGTAATTTCAACGATTTTTGCATCGGAATCTAACTGAAACAATGACGACATATTGCTATGGTGAACCAGGTACAAGTACTTCAGACAACAACACAACATACCGGTGTCTTTAGATGAATAACAGTAATATTCTTTTTATCACTCGCTTCGATTTCGATATGCTCACCAGATGGATCAATCTATAAATAAAAATAATTTATGTACTGATTTTTGATTTGAAAATAAAACATCTCGTGTATCTACATTTTTAACTTCACCAATAACACAAACTGGTTTATTCACAAATTGTGAAAGCATTGAACCGTTGATACGAGAATGAACTTGAGGTTGACCGTATTCAGACATCTAAAACAAGATAGATCATTGTAGATTAAAGAAGTTGACAATGTAATACAACTTTCAAAAACCAAAGGCTTCATCGAGGAAAAAAGCTTTGAAACAAAAGGAAGAAATTTTATTTTTCATCAACCAAATCCTCCATATTATAAACGCGCCATTTGTGTCTTAATACAAAACGAATATCTTCAACCATAATAGAATTTTTTGTTGATATTGAGGATGTGTTTGTAGCATTAGAATTTGCATCATTAGATGCACGCAATCGAGCTGCATCAGCCGACTTTTGGACTAATTGTTGAGAAAATAATTTTGCCATGTTAATTAACAACGTTTCCAAGTTCGAATCTAATGAGCGACGAGATCCAGTTGATTGAATAACATCAGAGAAAAAAGCAGCGGAAGATTCATTGTCGATATCAGACATAATATCTATTAAATAAATTTTTTATTATCTTTAAAAATATACGGTTCAGTTATTCTGCAGTACTTTTTGTTTAGAGAAAGACACGAATGACAAAGGTGTCTAACAGAATTTTTTGCAGTCAGTCCAAGCGACGTTAATATCAGTCCTGGCGCATATATACTAAATTAATGGAACATATTGTAATTCATGGATCTGAAGAAAGGAAAAGATTTGATCATATTGGTGCTGTATTTGTCCAAAGATAAGGAATCAATAGAGGACGCAACTTTCGGGTAGTCTGGTAGGTCTGAGCATGGAAACGTAAAATTTATAAGTATAAACTTAAGGTGAACTTGAATGGAATTTAGCTAATCTTGTCAGAAATACTACCGTCCTCTGCAAAACATGTAGTCTTTGTAACTGCATATTATAGATGCTGTATTATTTTCAAGAAATCCTACAAAATGGCAGGATATACTGGTAGCAAACAGTATTTTGTACAAAAATGCTGACAAATATCACATGTTAAGCACAAAGTGTGAGAGCAAGTAGATGCTACAATATGTTCAGAAAAAGCTTTATTTAACAAGGTGATCTATTGGATCTTTTCTATCGCTTTCGACCAAAACCAGAACCCTCTGTGGGCCAGAAAACAATCGAAAATTATAGTGAAAATTATTGTCAACCGTACTGTAATCTAGAAGCAAATAACGATGGTTTCGTTAATAAATCAAACAAATATTATTAATCACCATTGATAACAATAAAATCATATGCTTTCCCATGCCGACGAAATCGCCTAACTTTGCCGATTAATCGCGATTTTGACTCAAAATGGTGATTAATCACGATTTTTCTGCTGGGTTTTCAAAGTAACAAGCCAAAAAAATCACCGATTAATCGTACGATTAATCGGCGATGTTTTTGGCTTGTTATTGGAAACCCAGCAGAAAAACCGGGATTAATCGGCAAAGTTAGGTGATTTCGTCGACATGGGTTACAATCAACCGGACTAAATATATTGTGAATCACCCAAACATACAGTTCTAAGATGATTTCGAAAATAAGTTTAACATACTAAATAGGAACCTATGAAGAATATTCATATATATCAAAAATATATCAAAACACATCGTTTTTTCTTTTGTTCTGGAGCCGATTGGGCATAATAGAGGTATCGTGCATCTCATCACAACATATTCTACACAGATTAACAATGCTGTCCAGGTTTACTTGTTCCATTAAGGAATCAAATCCAACTTTACCTTCAAATCATAATTTTGTTCAAACTTTCACAGAAAAGTAAAGAAACTGCGTTTTTTTTGCAGATCTAACAGTTTTTGACCGAAGATTAAATAAATGGTGCATTTCAGCTCAATATTTCCCATAAAAGGCAGATAAAATAGCTGGACGTAGGCATAAACCTCAAGTCCGATTATTTATCAAATTTTATCTTCGACTGATGTGTTCTCAAAAAAATAGAGTTCACACTGGGTCTCTTAACCCTTTCAACAACTGAGCTCAATCGCTAAAACTTTCATTATTAGAGTGATATGTCGCGGGAAAAACAAGAGCCGATATTGATCAGACAATAGAGACTTCAAATATATTTTCTGTCTTTCTTAACTAATTTTGTCTTACTGATGGGTGATGGTGTGAGAAGACAGCTGGAAAATATCATTCCAATTGTTTCTTCAAAACTGATCAATTTATCGTTACCAGAACATTTAGAGAAATACCGTTATGAACTGCATCGTTAGTATCCTTCAATAAAAAAGAACAGTGAAAACGTAGCTGATAGATGGCTTGCTATGTTTAATTGAACTCTTTTTATGAAATTTAAGGTGAATTGGCACAAAAGTGGTCAACAGAAAGAGATAACGAAAGAGACAACAATATTCGACATGTTTCAGTATTAAAACAAGATAAAACAAAAAATTTTACACCACGAGCATCTGAAGTATTTCAACAATCGATTCATATTCATCAAAGTGCATTCGCATCACCTGCGCAACACTCCAGAGAAGATGTTGATGAACAATTAGGTGGGCAGAAAAGTCTTAAATGGAGTTTGAAAGCGCAAGAGGGGATCATCGCATATCAATTACCGGACGCGTAAGTATCATGATATAGTGAATTGCTAGAATTTGCACTTTGTCTTATCTCTGCAGTCTGCTAGACGGTGTTGCTCTTCATAATAAACTTCAAAAATTAATGAAATCGGATATAATTTACCTGAATGATCGTCGATTTTGGTTTGAATTAGAAAATCGTTTTAAGAATTTACGTAAAGTATAGCAATGTATCGCAGATTCATTAACATTGAGTATAAAACTACTATTCTTTGTTGTAGCAACATTTTGTACAAAATATGGAGCGACTACGAACACAACAGAAACAACGTGAACAAGATTTGATTGCAAAAGGTCTTTTACCACATACGACAGAGGAGGCTATTAAAACATTAGTCCATGAATATGATGAACAAAAACGCGTTAGAAAAGCAAATAAAATGGATTTTGCGGAAGCAATGAAGAACCCATCGAAAGCGGTAATGGACAACATCATACCATCAGATGACCATCAGCTATATTGTTTTCTTATTTTTATAGAAAAGCTGCTTAGCAGACTATGTTCAAAGAAAACATGTACACTTGATTGACGGTGTGGGTGTTCCTGAAGATCAGGATCCATTAGGCGAAGGGGGAGAACTCGAAGCTTATGAAACAAACGACGTACATCCAAGACTACATAAAATATTCACTGATTATAAGGTTAGAAATAAAAGGTGAAATGTTATCAAGTTCTTTGTGATGCAGTTTTCCCCTAATTAGTTTGAAACAACAAGTGGCAAACAAATGGCAGAGAAATATGAAAAAGAATTGTTGGAAGCACAAGCCAAAGTTAAAACAATATTTCCAAAAGCGAATCAACGTGACATGATCCGCCAAGAGCTAGAGGCAGTAAAGGTATAAAACTACTACTTTCAATAAAAATCTGACTAATTTATAATGAGTTTTGTTTTAGACAAGTGAAGGACTTTATGCCTATTCAAATCGTCTTCTCAAACAAATATTGCAGTAGAATTACCATTTAATTGAATTTAGCTAACACTAAGTGATGGTTTCTTCCCTTAAAATTGAAAAGACGATAATATCAGGGCAAATGATCAGGGTATTTCTTAGTGTTAGGTATATATTGGACGGCTTCGGACATTTATTCTACTACATGTTCCAAAATTCAGTGCTCTTCAGAGATCTATTTTCGAAGTAGTGCTTGATCTAAGAAGGATCAACATTTAACCACATAAGCGTAAGGTAACATAAAGTTCGAACTTTCATCTGAAGCCGGTATACGTGACGTGTCTTGTAAAGAGAAAGTTTATATTCTTTGAAATCCAATTCACCTTAAGTGGGTTTAAACTAACAGATTGTCGTCTGCACGTTCATGCAATGTCAAATTCTGCATTTGTCAGCGTCCGGAACCTACATCAGCTTCTATGAAAGCCTTAGAATCTATTATAGACACTTCTAAATAATCCTCAGAATTTCCGGGAAATGGACGGAAACAGATAAAGACCGTTCTGAATTTCGTTCCAATCATATAGTTTAAAATACGATTATAAAACTCCAATATCTCAAATATGGATAAAACATTAGGGAGAGATCAAAATGAATGCCTCTCGGAGGTAGTGCAAATTGAATAAAGATAGTCCATGGAGTAGAATCCATAGAGGTACTGTGAAAAACTTAATTTTTTAATAACCTTTCGCTTTAAAAAAACGATAAAATTTTCAAATATTGGGGCTCTCTTCCCGCTATTTGCGACCCTGCAAACTTTAGTGATAGCTTGTCTTAGACAATTATAAGCTATTGATCTCCATGCATAATCTAATGATATCTTGGTCAGAATCAATCTAAAACACTTAAAAATTTCTAAACTCACTTATTTTGCACAATTGTACAGGTCAGTTCATGCACCGGTTACCGGTATATTTCACTTTTTTTCTAAAATGGACTGCATGAAAAATACGCGTATTAAAAAAAGTACATTTTTCTACAAGTTGAGCTATGGCGGAAGTCTTTATGTTTTCCATTTCTGCTGCAATCGCTTTTTGATGACGAGCCCTGAACCGGGTGGTCAGTTATAACTCATCATGAAGCTTTTCAGAAATCTTTTTTCTGTAAGAACTGGATTAAGACGAATAGCTCATCTTGTAGAAAAATGTTCGCTCTACAAAATTCAGTTGTTAGAAAATTTTAGAGAATGATTTTTTAGTGGAGAAATTTTTTTTGTGAAAAAAGCGTACAATGTCAGTCGGTTATAACTGGTGCATGTCCAGTTCCAGACGCTGATAAATACAAAATTTGACATTGCATGAACGTGCAGACGACAAACTGCTGGTTCCAGCTCACTTAAGTTGAATTTGAACTAGCAATTAGATTAGTAATTGTATTTGAATGTGAGTGAAAAGTCCATGCTAATTTCAAAGAATAGAAACTTTATCTTTACAAGACACATCATGTATACCGGCTTCAGACAAAGTTCGAACTTTATGTTATCTTACATTTGTGTGGTTAAATGTTGACTTACCTATAAAATCGTAAAATGCCTAGGTGTCTATCTTTCTTAAATCAAGCACTACTTCGAAAATAGATCTTTGAAGAACACTGAATTTTGGAACAGATAGCAGTTTTGGCTGATATTACAAGTCAGTTGTACACTGTTTTGATATCCAATGAAACTTTATCGGTACAGTCTTTTTCATGTTATTTAAAATGAATTGAAAAAGTATGTAGTTTCATTTATTGTCTATTGTCATTCAATAAGGCACAAAAGGTTGTAGTTGATTTAAAGATTAATTGCTTGATTATGTTGTTTAAAGTTCACACAATTTGTCATCTACCGGCATTGATCTCTTTCTCCCTCTTTGTATATATATATATACATATACAAGAAAAATAATGAAGCAAGGTTCTTTTAATTAGACAAATCACGATTTAAATGCTCTTTATTTTGTTCGAACATCAAAGAATCGATTTTGTTCATTTGATAATAAACTGTGCTGTGGTATACGTGTTAAATGGGAGATTTTCTCTTCATCGATTGACAAATAACAGGAAACATGCAACAAGTGTAGAGACAATTATAGATATGTTACCTTTACACGCTTATTTTTCTGTTTCATAAAACATCTGCCTCTAAGAACAATTATTGATAATGTTTATTAGTAAATTATATTTATGGATGAACTTTACAAAGCTTTTGAACTGCAGTTAACTTTTGGAATTTATCAAAAACAAAACTACATTCTGATTGACTGTAAGTTAACTTTTTTTTGAAAATTGAGTAAATGAAAGTAAATGACATATGTTATCAAAAAAGTCGTTTATTCTCTCCTCAGTACGATGAATATTGAGTGTGTCACACTCACTCTTACTCTAAAATTGTGTGAAGACAAGTGTATGTTTTATTATAAAGAGTTCGCGAACGGCGGTATATCCTTTATCAACTTCATGTATATCAACACCTATGTGTACGATGATTCGTTTTATTTAGAAGTGTGTATGTGTGAGTGTTCAGTAGTTTCTTATTTTTTTTCTTCAAAGTGTTTCAAAATTTCCGTTGATATTTGGTTACAGTCAGTCTATTGTAACAAAAAGTAAACTTGTCGAACGATTAGCAAACATCTTCAAAAATCAAGGTGAATTTGGCATTTTTATTCACAATTTTTCTTCTACCAATTATACAATGTTATCCTCATCACTATGAGATGATATATCATTAGGAGTAAAGAAATTTGTTTGTTGGTCATCACTTGATTTTGATATTATTTATGATTTTGTTTTGTGTTTACATGTCATTTCTGAGAGATGTGAACATGATCTTCACTTCTCTTTCGTTCAAGTATCAAAACAAATATCATTTTATCAAAATGAAATAAAGATTGATAGACTAATATATTCGATCACATCATTTTTCTTCGATTTTAAAAGGTACCGGTTTTGGAATGATTATTCAATTTCTGACAAACTATATACAAAATGAAAAAATGCATATATTGACAAAACAATGATTTTTTCTTTCAAACGGAAAAGTTTAATGTGTGTATCCAAATGATTGTATCTAATTAAAAGATTTAAATAGTGATAGATTTCAAAATGTCTAATAATCATTAATGGAGTGAATAGAATAGGATCTATTCACGTGTGTGTAATGTAATGTTTAATTGTCCACAAATTAGACGACATATGTGGATATCGACATACATAAATACATGATCTTATTTAAAAAGAGAAGAGAACAAAACGGCTGCATTTGTTAATGAACAACGTATAAAGGTGGAGCTTAATGTCAAACCATTTTCTTCTTTTTTTGAAAAAAAGAAAAGAAATTCATGACATGTTATTACACACGTTCAAAAACAAATAAATATTACATTTTCTCGAGAAAAAGAAGAAAAAAATGATCGATGTAGTGCTAAAACATCTGCTCATGTAACGATTATTATCCTAATAGAATGAAATTTTTAACGAAGAGATAATTATTGACAACGTTACATCATACAGACACATCCTATCAACGAATAATGCACGATTTTTAGAAATTTTTTGTCTCCTGTCTCAAAAAATATCTAGTAAAGATATTTTGGAAAGATCATGCAAATGAAATCTTTCATATTAAAGTAAAGAGTGTGTACCAAAACATATCACTGTAAATCAACAGCATCATATACACGTATTCATTCTAGATTTCACTCACCATAGAAAAAAAAACAGAAGAAGAATTCATTGAGTTCTAAAATTCGGAAATACTGTTCATTAATTATTGTTTCGATTAATATTCTGACTTTATTAGTAGAAGATTTGACATGTCATTCCTTGTGTGTTAAGTACATTTATCATGTATTTGGATTTGTTCATTTATATATTTTTTTTTAACACCAACACAGAAATACTCATTTGTCTTTCTCTCTCTCTCTCTCTTGTTCCTGTTTTTTGCGTTTCTTATATGGTCTTGATTTGAATTACAATTAGTATTCATATTGAGTTTATCATTTATTCATTGTAAAAAAAAAACAGAAGAGAAACGGAGGAATGATTTATATATACAAAAGATTAGGTTTTTTTTGTTCTCTTTAATACAATGCTAATTGTACATGTTCGTTTTTTTCCTGTATTTCACACATCTCATGTACATTATATTCTACAGTGTTTTCTGCTTGAGTTAATTAAACAAATACAGACAGATATAGAGCTTTTAATCATGTATTATCACACACATACATACAAAGAAGAGAGATCATGATCTTTTAAAGAAGCACATTTGTTTTTCTTCAGTTTCATTCAAACTATATAATCATCAGAGATATAAACCTTAAGAGAAAGGAGAATTGAAATAAAAAAATATGACATTTTTTTAGAAAGTGACCAGAATAAGTTATAAATAATCAGCCTGTTGTTGTTTTTTTCTAGTAAATTATATGCATACCAGAAAAAAAGAGACATGAAATCACTGAAAATTTTTATATTTAGACAGATGTGCACACTAGGTGTGAACTATTTTTTTTCCGAAACTTTTATCTATTGCCAAAAATTTGTCATGAAACCTTTTTAATCTAGAATTTTTGTTTAGATTCTAGTTAAAGATGTAAATAAAACATTTTAATTTCATTTTCTTTCAAATATGCATAATTTGAAGAATGTCTAGTATAGAAATATCTTCTGGCTATCTCGACATATCTTACGTTAAAAGAAGTGTGGACATCTGTTTTAGAGAATCAGTAATGCATGACCAAAAAAAGAGATGGATGAATTTAAATACACTTTAACTTATACTCTCATAAGGTAAGAAGAAGAAGAAGAAAATAAATGAACAAACGTAAAGAAATAAATGGACATGTGTTTGATCACTTGAACAATATACAGGTATCTAATAAAAAAATGTTGGTTCAATATTATTATGAAGATTATTTTCTTTTGACTTTTTGTTTTTATATTTAATATATCAGCATCTGTTATATAGACGTTCTTTTTCTTGTGGTGAATGACACAAGATAAATTATTATTATTATGACGATTCTAGAGTCCTCTATATAAATTTTTTCAAAATTGTCTGTAAAAAAAATAAAATATTAGAGATGAGAAAATAAGAAGAGAAAAGAATACAATAAACCATATACATTGAAACAAATTAGTAATTTTGTTATGGATGAATTGTAACGGGAGGAGGGATGGATAAAAAGAGAGATTTAAGTAACACATTGTCTTTATTTAACAATTTAAAAATTACAATGTTAAGGTGTGGGTTGAAACAGATGAGGATAAATTCAATTCAAATCAAATATCGATTATAAATTTCCGGATTATGTCAATCAAAAATACATATATCAACGAATTATTTGGCAAGCATTTCAACAATAGAAAACAACATGATACATGTGTAACAGACGGAATAAGTACAACTATTATTACCAGAAAAAGTGTTCATACCTATTTTTGATCAAGCGAAACATTGAATCAATATCTAGAAATAGAATTTATTTCTTTGATAATATCCCATTAAATATAGAAACAACAGTTCTAGAAATGTTAATTGTGTTTAATAAAAATGAGTAATTGAAAATATGTTTTTTAATAACTGAAAAAAAAAAATTAAGTAAAAATCTTATAATCTATTGTTTTCTTAATGGCATATGTTTTCTAAATACATCTTCAAATTCTTTTTTCGCCTTTAGCTAGAAATTATAATTAGATAATATGTCCTTTTTCTTTTTTATACCATTTAACCATCAACTCTATAAGAAAACAATTTTCTCCCGTTTTTTTCTCAATTTTTTTGTTTGAATTATTTTTTTTAATAGAATATTTTCCTGTCATTGTAGTTAAAAGAAACAAAAGAGAATCGAACACTTTCGTTATATTGCCCTAGAGGTAAATCCAAATGTTAAACGGTAGGCGTAAAAAAAATATACATGATCGGATCTATTATAGAAAACATAGAAGAAAAAACAAAAAAAAAACGATCTTATTTTCTATTCAATAGAGAAGAACGCAGGTGTAACGAGTTGTTTCATAATTCAATTAAATAATATTCATTGTCATTATATGATTTCCTGTTCTCTCTTTTTTGCGAAGAGAGAGAGAGAGAGACTATGATATCCGTTACTTGACTCTAATTTAACATTCGATATAATGGCTACTATTCTCGATGGACTGTTATAGACAATTCGCACGCTTCAACATGATAAACTAGGCTTCCTTAAACGTATCCAATATGCCACAATTTTAAATACTATTGAATAGAAAGATAAAACAAATATACTTGACACTTTTTCTCACCTATGTGATGATGTTCAAAAAATACATAACATATCAAACTCACTAATCTGTTAAAATTTGAATGACAGAGTAGCAACACAGAGAAATGAAAGGTGTCGAGAATCTTCAAAATGTTTAATTTTCTTTTTGTTTTTTTGAAACACTTTCTAACTATGCTGCTGCACTATGCTCTTCCTCTTTTTCACCAACAAAGACGAATGAAAAGAGGAAAAAAAGATTCTATTTTTTTTTTGTCCTTTGACTTTATTTTTACTTATTTTTTTATGTATATTTGTCACGTTCGATATTAAAATAAAAAAAAGTTAATGATGGACAACGAATTTTTAAAACACTTGATTTCCAAATGTGTGCACACATACTGAGATGTTTTCACGTATGGCTAATAACAACATTTTCATGACAAGAAGAATCTGATGGTGATGATGATGATGATAACCTTATTTCTATAGAGCGTATCGATTCCTGTATTTTTGACATTTAATTTTGATTGCCTTCAAAAGAAATAAAAAAGCAAAATTGAGAAAAGAAACGGTATGATAAATGGTTCATTTAAAAACAGAAATACATTGCTCAGTGGCTACCTGAAAATTTATTTTTAGAACATGTCAGGATTAATAATCAGAAAATATAGAAGAAATGAGATTCTCTCGTTTGAAATATGATCTTTATTTTTATATTGTTTACTCTAAAAAAAAAAATCTATCTTATTCTATCCGTCTTACTCCTGTCTCAGTCTAACTTTTTTTCTTCCATCTTATTTCTAAGACCAAAGAAAAAGGTCTTATTTTTGCCATCTGAAGTACGAAAAATCATTTACCTCTTTTGTTTCGCATAGACTACTTGTATATAGAGAACAGAGGATTTAAATGAAATATCATTTTTCTCTTATAAAATATTAAAACAGCTCGATTGAAACTACTAACCCATCCTGATGAGTTTATCTTAACATTCGAATTACTTTGAAAAATAAAATTCCATACGTCAGTTGACAATTAGACTCATAGATAGGTCTCAAAATAAGACTTTTTGCTCAGTCTTATCGTCATCCGTCTTATTTTGAGACCTATTTATGGGTCTAATCGTCCACTTAAGACGCATTATTTTTTTTTTAGAGTGAATCATATAAGTTTGTTTCTATTTAAAATATGGCGTCATTCGACTAAATAATAAAAATCCAAAAGATCTATATTGACTCAGTTGGATGTTTACTCGATGTATATATCAAAGATGATGGCACGCTTTTCTCTTCTCTATTGACACATTCAATATATATCAATGTCTTGTTTTCATTAAAACTTATTTCTTTCCAACTAAATACCTATCTAAGGCAAAATATAATGTTGAATGGGTGATGAATACATCCGCTTTTAGAACATGTATGTGTTATCTTTTTGACTTTTTTTTTTTAATTTAAGACCAGAGGCATAATGCGATCATTAATGACTAAGATGTTTTTGGATACTTTTAATTTTATCGATATTGTGTCTAAAGAGAGAGAGAGAGAGAGAAAGGGAGAGAGATACACGAGCAGATGTGTCGACAATCTGATGTGGTTACCATGCGTAAAGAAATGTGTGATTGTTGTCGAAACAGTTGACTATTGATCATGACCAACAAGAAAAATGACTGTCTGCTCTTTTTTCTCACGAATCGATTGGTTACACGTGTCAAAAACATGTCAAATTTCTAAGAGGTATGTAATTTAAAGATGGATATGAGTAATACAGTAATTCTTGACTTTACTTCTATATTCTTAGACTAGCTAAAATCATAGTCTCAATTGTTGGAATAAAATCATATTTTTCAAAACTTTCTTATAAATTTTTTGTATTAAAGTTAATTTTTTCACTTCATTTTCTACTCTCTACTAAGAAGTTTGCTCATTTTGTCGACAATTTGAATAAAAGAAGAGAAAAAATAAAACAGAGTACAAAAAATACGGAACAAAGATACGGATTTAGAATTTTGAAGAGTAGTGGCGGAACGTCAAAAAGCCTTATCCTTTTCCTCTCTGATACATATCTTTGTGCGTGTATTTTACAAAGAATGTCAATGGTGAAATATCTTTAAAAAGCAAAAGAATTCTTTCACACATACAATTTTTTTTGTGTTCTTCAAAAAACATTTTTCTTGCAAATAAGAAAAGAAGAAGGAGAAGAGATGAAAAAAAGGAACAAATGGGAGACGAGAAGAAAAACTGTTGCTTTTGGCTATACTGCTTGACTGGCTAATTTTAAGTTTTCTTTTTTTGACAATTTCTTCGTCTTCTTCTTTTCACGACTACCAGTCAAAAGAAAAGAGATTTTTTTTTTCTTCTTCTTCTTCTTCTTCTTCTTCTGAGAAATAGCACAAAATAAAAGTAACGAATTAGATATCATCTTATAGACGACGACGAGCAAAAAATAAATTTTCTGTTAAATGCTGAGTGGCTATGTCTAATATAATAATAAGAAAAAAAAATATATCAAGCACGTACATATCAATATAACATTTTTAAAAGAAAAAGATATTTTCTTTCACATATTTCTTGCTATTCACACAAGAAATCTGTTTTTTAAATTTTAACATAGAAAAACATTATTGACATAATTAAAATCATAGATCAAATGTAATAATCATCGTGAACAAAACAATGGTAGGTAAATTTACAATACTTATACGAGTTTTATTATAGAAAGATTTTAGCATTTTGAAAGATTTTACGATGAAAAAAAAACAGAAAGAAGCAGCATTTATTTATTTCAATAAAAAGAAAAACAGCAAAAAAGAAAGTAAGCAGTTCGCTTACTCAATCACTTTTCGTTTACCAGTTGTAAATAATAACAAGTACGAATGATATCAACTCTTTTTGAGTTTTTTAAGAGTATATTGAACGTTTAAATTGTAGTTTGTTAGATGTTATTTTTTTTCCTCTCTCTATTTCTAGATGCTGTAAAAAAACATCTTGTCATTTTTATTAAATGATTAACATCCGTTCATCCTACATTGTGTTTAAATAATATTTCATTCTTATGTAAAGTTCATTTAGATAAGAACAAAAACTAAGATTTATTTATCCTATTTATTTTATATATAGATATAAAAATAGTTTTGACCAATGAAAATCATTTGACAATTGAAAGTGTTTTTTTTTTCGTCATTTTTGTATATTTGTCAAGGATTATAAATTATTCAGACTTAAGAAATATATTTCACGTATATACGTTTTTTTGTTGTATATTATGTATCATTCACCGACAAATGAAAATTATTTACAAGAAAAAACAGCAACAATAAGAAACAATAATAATGATCAACAATCTTATACAAAAATGAATAATCATCAAAATTCGAATATTGATCAACTTCTTCGTCCATATGGAAATTATATGTTATTTAATCCTTACTTGAATTCTCAAGTATCTACCTCAACTACTGATTCTCCTCAAGTTACTTCATCTTCTGCGACAATTGCTAATACTGCTGCACTCAATACCGTCTTCAATCCTCGATATCATCAACATCTTAATCATTTAAATGAGACAGCATTTACTCATACAAAAATGTTACAAGAAATTATTGAAAAACGTATAGATTTGTCATCCTCACGTTCACCATCGCCTGTAGAACAATCATCAAATGGGAAACAACAATATAGTAAAAAGCGAATAGCTGATAAATTAGAATCAAATTTTGACAAAAATAATAATTTTACAACAGAAGAATCAAATGAATATTTATCATTAGCAGAAGATGATATAAAATCAGATAAATCAACAACAAAATATCATTGTCGAAATCGTATGCAACGTCATAATAGTGCTCATGATCATACATCATCTCATAGTTCACAACAATCATCTCCATCAACATCAGGTACAACACACAAACGTTCTTATGATACAGAAGAAAGTGATTGTAATTCACCAAAGCGTCGTCGAAAACAACCCAAACCACAACATGTAGCAACCGACGATGAAAATAATAGTATAGCCCAAAAAACTGCTATTAAATCTATTGGAAATAATATTGTTGACGAACAATTAAATAATAATGATGTTTATCATCCACCAAGTATTGATGGTGAAGAAATAGAAGAGGAAAATGGTGAGATTGAACACTATGGTCATGTTAAAAAGGGCAATAATGGAGTAGTTCAAGAATGTAACAACCAACAAGAAGAACAAGAATTGCAAAAAAACGAGAAAGTGATGAAAGTAAGTAAAGTTTCAGATTAATTATTTTGATGTCAAACTGGAAGATCCTCGGTCTCATAGATATGTTAACTATTCCAGGAGATATACTGGAAATTGTATTCGTCTTTCAATACAGTTCATTTTTTAGAATACACCAACTTTAATACCATCAGCAACATCGGCACCATTTTTGGCCTATATTCACGATTTAACAAGAGGAAATAATATTAGTTCACCACTGAGTATACCAAAATTTCTTGAAAATTTACAGAAAGAATTGTTTACTGCTATTAACAATGCCATTGGACATACATTTCAAAAACTTTTTGAATTAACATCTCAGAATCTCTCTCAAGATGATCTCAATAAACCCAGTGTTTCTGTGCCTCCACCTCCTCCACCATCACAACAACCATTAACCAATGAACATCGTACATCATCATCTGAAACAAAAACCATAAATCATTCAACTCTAGTACCATCAGCTCATCGTGTAGTTGCATCATCTTCTCGACAAGATGAACAGGAAAAACAGCAGCATTCAAATGGTTCAACTACAATGCCACCATCATTTCGTTTGCCCGATCGTCCAGCTGTGCTTCGACCATCATTGCCACAATTATATTCTCATCCACTAGGACATCAAGCTGTAGCGGCTGCTCTTCATCAGCATCCTTACTTTTCTCAAATGTTATTTACAAATTCGTTTATTAATCATTTTCCACAGATACCTCCAATGATGCGTTTTATGGGGAATGGAACACAAACACAAGTGGCAGGAGTATCAACAACGAATCCACCACTCATTCCACATCATCAATTAGACGAACATGCTGTTGAGCATTTTGGTTTCAATTTAACACCAAAAAAGCGACGTACAAAAGTAAGTTTAAATTTTTTTCTATACATTTCTAGATGTTATTTTATAGTGTCATCTAATAGGTAACAGATACACGTTTATCACCTCGTGTAGCTAAAGTTTTATCCTCATCCTCACAAGATCAAATAAAAATTGAAGAATATCAAAAATCACCAGAATCATCGTCATCAACAAACAATATGTTAATAAATTCGACAAATTTATATTTTGAAAATGGTCTAGAATCAACCGACGCATTTTCACCAAGAGATGAACATACATCTTCGAATTTATCAAGTAATTCGCCTGGTGATAATGATCCAAATAGCGATGAAGCTTTATTGGAATACAATGGTTTTCAAATATCCTTTTTTTCTAATTATTTAAGGGACTATTTTTGTTTTCAAGAAGGTAAGATAAATCCTCTTTGCATCATGTTAGATAGAAAAGATTTTGCATGATTTTTTTCATGCAAGTAACTTGAAAAAGAAGCTTGATTATTGCGAATAATAGCGAATCTAAGAAGACAGTCAGCCAATTAGAATGATGATGCATTTTTTTTGGTATCAATATATAGAATTGTATCATTAGGAAGTACATACAAAGGTAGAGAACTTTTAAAATAACTAGATGAACCTATAAGCATTAGAAGAAACGAGACAGACAGAGAGAGGAGAAGAGTGTGCTAATAATTATCACACATATACACACGATAGTTCATTATGATTAATCGCCTGTGAATTGGTACAAGCAAAAAAAGGATAAATGTTAAGTTTCACTTTAAAATGAGTGCGAGTGTGTAACGCTTATCTACATTGTTAGGAGAAAAAGAAAAAAAAGAAGATTAACCTGCAGACAGACTAGTGAAAATGTATTAAGTAGTGTTTCTTACTCTTACATCTCTTGTCTATGGAAATAAGAGTCAGAGACCCTATATCAATTGTTGCTAGCTAAAAGCACGATAGGAAATCACTTTCACTATATATCGAATATGTTAATCCTACTGTTGTTGAAAAAAAAAAGAAAAAAAGAAGAAAAAAGCATTTTCTCACTCTCGTCTCGTTCATAGTAGAATCTATTAATTTTTTTCATTCGTTAAAGCGATGTTATGATTCGCACTCTCGAATAAATTTATTAAAATTTAGTTCCATTAGTATTATTATTTTGTTGAGCAGAAGCATTCCAATTAACTAATTCTATAATATATGTGATTAAAACGATTCTTTCTGTCTTTTCTTCACGCAATAAACAAAACAAAAAAAAAAACGCTATTTGATGATTTAGAGAATTAATGACAAAAAGAAGAAACATGGAGGTGAAAAAGGTTAACTTTTATCATAAGAAGAGAGAGAGAAAGAGAAAAGAAGAGTATATTTTGACATATTTATTGCAAGTGAGAATATACATCATGTTTTTTTTGTGAGATTGGTAAATTCGTAGCCGATCTTGATGTTTTGAATAAAACTTGAACTTGAGCATAAGAAGTATCCCATCAAGATAAATTGAAAATATTGGGAGTTGATTTATGTAAAATGAGTGGTTTTTCATTAGCCAGTCATATAGCAAAGATACAATGCTTGATTTTAATCGATAGATATTTTGAATTCCAGTCACATCTATTCATTTCCGTTCAACTCATTTATAGTTCCTACTTTTCATGTTTTATCCCATATAATGAGCAACGATTGGCTTCTAATGATTAAATTAAATCTTTTTTTCTACTAATTTCTTTGAATAAGAGTCTTACTTAATGGCTTATACTTAACATTTTGAATTTATTAGACTAAATATAAATTAACTAAGCCATATCTCTTATCAAACACAGTTTTAATTTTAAGTTTTTCTTTCTTTTCCATTCGTATGTAATAATCATAAATATTGAACAAAAGATGATAATGGTAATAATGAAACGAACATATTGTTTATGTTTATAAATAAAATTAGTTTGTATTCGCACACGTATAGACCGTCTGTCGAATTTATTCAATTAAAGATACAAAATCAGTTCAGACGATCAGAATTTATCAAAGATATGATTTTTCTATTTTGACAGAGAAAAGTTCAAATTATTTCTGTATGTAGTACCTCTCAACTTTTTTTTTCTTATCATTAGGAAATGGATTTTTGTTTTTAACTTGCAATGGCACAATACTTTTGATCATATCCCTGTGTAAGATATGCGTGTATATGTCTATTTAAAGTATCTCCTTATATATATATATATATATATTGTTCAATATTAACCTTTTCTAATCTTTAACTCTTCAATTGTGCCATCTGCTGTATTATTTTTGTATATTTTTCACCTTCTTCTCCCGAAAAAAAAAAAAGTGAACTTTATTCAAAACGTCATTAATTTTTATTTTATTTTTGTTGCCAGTATAGTTTTTCTTTCTTTTCCTTCATCCTATAGTCGGTTTAAATTCTCATTTGTTACTTGTATATTATTTAAATCTTCTCTATATTATCTATAAAGAAGAAGAAGAAGAGAAAGCGAAAAGGAGAAAAATTTTCTTGTCACGTTTTGAGCTATGGTCCATTATATCCAACGTGAATCGAACTCATATTACCAATACGAACCGAAATTCATCAAAGAAAATAAACCTTGAAATATATTCAAATTGTTGTTTTCATAATGACTTTTTTTTACTTTCATTAATGGACAAAAAATGTGTTAGAAGCACGTCCTATATGCTAATTTTGGCACGTGTAGTAAAAAAAAAAAAAAAAGAAAAAGAAAAGATGCATCAAAGATCTAATGGACATTTTTGCTTTTTTGAAGAAAATTTTCTCTGCCTTAAACTCGAAACAAGATCTTTTTAAACATCATTTTGACAGGAAAACAACGGACTCGTTGAACTTTATTTCGACAAATAGAAAAAAAAAAAGAAAAATCAACATGACAGTTGAAGAATCTCTTAATCAAGATGTTTGATACGTATATCATTTTAACATTTTATTTTATTTCTCATAGGTAACTTTCTCTATTAGTAGTACGATGACTATTTGCAATAAAAATATGTTTTCTACTTGAGAATTGAACAGGAAATAAACAAAAAAAGATGATTTTTATGTATATAGTTTGACAAATTTTACACACAGTTTAACATAAAGTAGATTGTGTCATAAAGTAATAATTTTTGAGCAGATAAATAAATATGAGAAAAGATAAGATGATATTGAAACTATAGTCAAGTTCAATGTTAGCAAAAAAAGAAAACAAACGAAAGTCATGTCTATTATCAAGCTGTTTAAATAATTCATTTGACATTAATCATAAGAATTTGATTGTAGACAATAGTATAGAAAAAGAGTTTCAGAGAATATACTCACTACCTAAAAGTACATAACACTATCTTAAAGCGTCATACATATAGAATGAATACTGTTAAAGAGAAGAATCAAATTATTCATCATATAATAAAAAAAAACATTTCATTTTAACTATATATTTTTCCTTAACCTATTTGTATTATACGTAGCAGTATTAACATCATTACATTTGAGAAAAGCAAAATTAATGTTTTTTTATACGAGATATCCCAGTTCATCAATATTAAAAGTTTATTTTCCGGATGTAAGATTTAATAAATTAATCACAGCACAGTTAGTCAAATGGTTCAGTAATTTTCGGTAAGTTTTTTTTTAAACTTAAATATACCATGATAAATGATATGAATATTCTTGAATAGAGAGATGCTAGAAAAAATATATGCTTCAACACGTCTTTTGTCCAACTCTTAACATGGAACAAAAACAGAAAAAAAAAAGAAGAAGATAAGAGAGTCGCTATTCTATATTTTCACTCTAATAAAAGAAATATTTGTTCAAATGAAAAAAAAAAAACCATGAAAAATAGTATTTTTTTTATCTGTATCCATGTTTTATTCTCTAATTGATTTCTTTTTTCAATTTCTTTGTATGTCTTTTTTTGTTTTTAGTGAATTTTTTTATATTCAAATTGAAAAATATGCTCGACAATATTTAGCTGAAGGTGTAGAAAATGTTGATGGTTTAGTGATTTCAACTGATTCAGATTTATATCGAATATTAAATTTACATTATAATAGAAATAATCAACTTGATGTAAGTAGAAATAGAAGAGAGAGACTGAAGAAAAATAATAATAAGATGAAAATCAAGGTTACAATGGAAATTTATTATGTATATCAATTTTAGGTACCAAATAGTTTTTGTGATGTTGTTGAAGCCACATTAAAAGAATTTTATCATGCCATTCAACAACAAAAAGATATTGAACCATCATGGAAAAAGACAATATATAAAATAATTGCTCGAATGGATGATCAAATACCAGATTATTTTAAAGATGAACATTGGATTCAAACAATTCAATAAATTAATTATCAATTTTATTCTTATTATTATTCTCGTTTATTATACGATATTTTTAAAAAATTCAAATTGAATTGAATCGAAATAATGACCTATAGTGAACAGTAAAATGTTTAAGAAAAAAGAAAATAAATAATAAATGATATTCGAGTCACGAATTAATGAAATATGTTATACGCTATCATTTTTATGTTTTCGTAAAAAACAAAACATTACATACTATTAGCAGTTCAATAATATATAGCAAAAAACAAATAAAACCTACCACGGTATTTCTCAAATTTTAATTGTGTGTCTTTTTTTTTCTTTCTGTATTTGAAAATCATTTTTCTTCTCTATATAAACGTATTACATATAGTCACTAAGAATATTTTATATTTGCATTATGACTAACTGAAGAGACTGCATTTTTTTTTATACGAGATTATCATGCCACATTGTTAACGTCTCACCGTAGGTTTTCATTTATTCAATGTGTTGAATGCCGAATGAATTTTAACCTAGAAACAATGTACGCAAATTTTCAAAACACTTCTTTTTTCCTTAGAAATAAAAATGAACAAAATTTAGTTAAAAGAAAGGGCCTTGAAAAAATTCCACTATTTGGTGCTATTCAATGTTTAGAACTCTGATCGTGAAAAAGTCGAAAATGAATTGAAAAACAAGAAAGGAGAGGTTTCGTACTAAAACGCTGACTATGCTCATCTATACATGCACCATCGTTTCATCTAGTAAAAACTACCTAGAAAAAACGGTTCAACAGACCGACTGGATTAAAAAACTAACCGTTTTTTTAGTATTTTTCTCATAAAATTACGAAAAAGAGATATTTACTTTTTGAGCTATCCACCTGCGATAGTATCACCGTTCCATATGTTTCAGTTGGCTAGAAAAGTAAACGAACGGACGATACTAAGGAAAAGATTAATAAATCTTGAGTAAACATAAGATAAAAACCAATAAGACTCAAAAGATTCTCTCGTGCATCTTAACGATCTAACTGTGACTTATATCTTATTGTACAATTTACTCGTGTCTTTTCATATTATTCTGTCTTATGGGTCATGGTAATTTGAATTCATTTAAAATTAAGTATCACATGAAATACAAGAGAATATTAAACAAAACGAATAGTTGACTCTACTATAGGTAATATGTCATCGTTCTTGGATAATGAAATAAATCTAGATTGTCACAATAGTCATGATCATTGTGTAAAAAATAACAGTAGAAAAATATAGATCATTTTATTTAACTATAATGAAATATTCTACGATTAAACATGTATTAATAAACACGTTGTCGATTGTGAAATAGATATCCATTGGTATTATTTTTCAAGTTTACAGACCAATTACTAACAGGACGTTCATAACAACATTTTAGAAACAAGACAATCATTTGTTGAGTGTAATTTTTATTACAAGAGTATATCTTAAAAAAGTTATCTGTAGAAGAAAACAAAATTTTGGCTCAATCTCATACATTTTTCGGCTTTTCTTTTTTTTGTTGTTGTTGTGAGATTGCTTTTTGACGTACTCTCAATCCTTTGAGTCCCTTCATCCATTCTTTATTTATTATTTACATAAATATCTAGAAAAAAAGCACTACAGAATTTTCCGTAGCTTTTGATATCATAGAAGTCTAAGAAGAGAGCAAAAATCGAACGACATATTACCAAGCTAAAATTTCCAACTGTATTTCTAAATATTTATATAAATAATAAATATTGACTAGCAAATTATAGATTTACATTTGTATTATATACTGTTCAATAGTTCTACTTAATGAAGTCACAAATCGATCTTCGAGTGATAATGAAGGGATTCAAGAGTGCGAAAAAACGATTTTGCAGCAAAAAAACGACAAAAGATGTATTAGATTGGGTTAAAAGTTTTTTCTTCGTGTATAAACTCGCTTTATTCGATGAAGTAATTTTGAATTAAAGTTCAGTAAGTCCTTTTTTATTAGCCATAAAAGAAGGGAACAGTTACATTTTGAGAAAAAGAATTATGTACTACTGATTAACAAACATTGTTAACAGCAGTCTTTCAGACGCTTTCAATCAATGTAGTCAACTTTATTTTTGTTATTTTAATACAATAGGAAAACATTACGTTAGAGGTTCAACCCTTTCTAATTTAATACGATTGAATATATTTTATGTAATTATCCACTGAAAAAACAAACTTTTCAGATTGAAGATTTGTTTAGTACTAAAGCACATTCTGATCTCATTCGTATTTGAATATTGATTTCAAATGTCCAATCGTCAATTTGGTGGTTGCCATCTTTATTATTAATCTGTTTCTGTTTCATTGTTTACTTTCATAATTGTTGAAATTCAAGTAAAAGTAAACAAGCGGCACTTGTTATCAATTCTTCTTCTTGTCAAAAACGGAACTAACGGAAGAAGAACGATACTAAGTTTATTTTGTCATGAATATCGATATCCAAAGGAGATTAGCTTTCATAATGCTTATTGAAAAACCATTAATACAGCCAACTGATTAATTGTAACACTGTTGAAAAATATTTTAAATGAAGAAATGAAGGTTATATAGTAAGTTTTTCGAACAGTAGTCTAATATGCATTTATAATGAAAGAATTCAGTGAAACTTCCACTTACCAAATATTTCGTACGAAAAATAAAATAATTCTCAATACTTTTTCCATTTACATAGAAGAATTGTTATTGAATAATTCAGTTTGTAGTTATACTTTTGATAGATAACTCCAACAGAGAACGACGGTAACCAAAGTAAGAATAGATGCAATTATATTCCAAATCCATGTCATTTGAGACCATAACTTTATTCGTCTTAAATCAGCTTATTTTTTAAACCGTTTTACTTTTACTGAGCCAGTGCACCAAACAATAATCTATTTCGTTACTGAGAAATCTTGCAGCTACGAATAGCCTCATTTTGAGGGAATAAACCCATTGGCTAAAGTCAGAAAAAAGACAAGAAAACCACCGTAAACAAGAACTAGAGAACATAAATAAGATGCATAATCAATTTTTAGTTTTAAATGAAGGCTATGGGCGTATGTCTGAGTGATCTGCGCTGCCATTGTACCGTTGATATAGAAAAATACCTCGAAAATAAACTTTGTCTGAATCTATTTGACAGATCTGTCTCGATTTTGACCATTCTTTATACATATTAACATGTTGATACTCAAAAAACTTGCTAGGGTAAAGTATCTATAGCAACAAGAACTTAGGAAACATAAATAAGATGCAAAATAAAGTACGAAAATAGGAATGATACATAACTGAAAACTTTCTTGAGTGATATTTGATGAAGACCTTTTGCTCTCTCGTTCAGGGAAGAAGATTGATCTTTTCATTGATTTCAAATTCTGACCTAACACTTTTATCGTTCTCTTTTCACTAAAACATTTAATCATGTGCAGAACTGGTTTCCTAGACTGATGCATGCTTTAAATTAAGCGTAATCAGAGTTTAATGCTATCATCAGTTAATAAAAGCTTTAAAATTTTCATAAACTAATGCATACCTTCCTCCGACCGGAAGTCTTTTTGGAGAAAATAATTAGTT